TTGTGCCAATTTGTGAGGATATGGTTGCATCTATGGGATGATGAACCCGGTTTCCAGCAGGTGCTGCTCCCCACCAATAGATGGAGCTTGTTTTTTGTAATTAAAAAAAAAAGAAAAAAAAGGAAAAAGAGTAGTACGGAGCACACTCGTAAAACCGTAAGCCTTAGGGAAGAACTTGAGATGCTGATAAGAGGCCTGTGCGACTGCTAGAGATCTCCCCCCCCCCCCCTCCCTTCCCCCCTCTCTTCCTTGCTGCGCGACTGGGTGCTGCTAGTAACCCTCCCAATCAGCAGGGGAACACTGAAGAAGAGCCAGGCTCTGGAGGAGGGTGTGAGTTGCAGCAGTTCCCCTCCCCGTTGGCAGGTGACTAGAGCCGGAAGGGTAGAGCCGTTTCTGTAAGTTCTCTTCTCTTTCCTCTTCCCTCTCCCCTGCCCACATGCTTACAGGTGATAAGTAACCGTACTGATGCCTCCAGAATAGAAGGGATGGTTTTGGCACAGTGGTTAGAGCACCGGTTGGAGCACTGCTAAGACTCTGAAAAAAAACAAAAAAAAAACGGTGATAAGTAACCGTACTGATGCCTCCAACCGGTGCCGTTGGCACAGTGGTTAGAGCACCGGCTGGAGATGCGCGTCGCGGTAAGAGGTTTGTGGGTTCAGAACTCGGTTCTGCACATTGGTGTGCTATGAGGTTATGGGTTCAAAACTCCGTTGCCTCGCGCACATAGTACAACGACAGCACTTTCATAGCGCACGAGGCGGCAAAAGTTGCTTCGCTTGTAGTCTCTGAGGCTCCTCTTCAATCAAACTATGGCGAGCCTGGTGATTGACCAATGAATTTGGAACTACACTACCCTTGGGCTGACGCATGGTAATATTACAGACACTGCCTGCGCACCACCCAAAGGGTTTAGTCCATACCACTAACACTGACAGGGGCGTGTTATTAAAAAAAAAAAAAAGACTTGAAGTACGCTGGTAGCAGGGCCTTCGGGGAGGGCTGTTTGCGCGGTTGGCCTTGGGGTGGTCCTTACCTCTTTTTGAGTGTGTGTGTGTGTGTTTGTGTGTGTGTGTGTGTGTGTGTGTGTGTGTGTGTGTGTGTGTGTGTTGAATATTCACAACAACAGCCCCTATTCCACCCAGATGAACAGATCCAAAATCAAAGCATGCTTAATCCCTATTACAGACAACGAAAGCCCTTGAGTTAAGACAACTCAACAATGAAACAGTTTCACCTTAATAGCAAGCAAAATGAAGGACGATCGCTGCATGTGAACCCCTTTCGTGAATGCGTTCGCATTTGCTTTCTTCAGTGTACCCCTTTCATTTGTTCTTGCAGCTCCCCCTTTACCGTGCCTCTCATGCACAAGGCTCCCCACGTTGATTGTGGTTGAGCGCGACCTGCCCACATCCCCGTGGGCCATAACGGCACACACTTGCACACTATAAAAGGAGGCAGAGCAAAGGTGGAGGTATATACCTGTTCATTTCTTCTCAGATGTTCACCTTTTTTTTTTTTTTTTTTTTTACTTTCTGTTTGTAATGATGCTCGTTTGTATGTATTGATAGTAAATACACAAGAGGAGTGACTCCGAGGGAGGAGGGAAATGGGAGGTGGAGTTCTGAAAAGGTTCTAAATAGCGACCGCTGGGGCAGACCACCCTCGAACGGCACATGAGGCCAGTCAGTGTGTGGGTTGCATAAGATTTTGAGTTGAGGAACAGTTGTTTCCTATAATGGTAAGTGGCCACCTCCACAGACCGGGCAGAACCGGTTTGGGTGTAGCCCGTGGAAGCACGGCATTGAATGGCGTAGACAGATGTCATAGGCAACATGGCTCCTAGTACATGCTACTAGGAACACAGAGACACGTCGACAACCACAAATGTAGAGGCATTGTCTTTCCGGTCCCTGTCTACAAATTGGACATGACATGTCAGGGTGCCCCGGACATTAGTATAGACTGCCATCATACGTATGAAGACAAAAGCTCGCCTGGGCAATCCCTTCATAATCCTCACGGCACAAAGGATGCCAATGGGTTGTGTGAAGTGCGTGGTCCAATGATCTCTGGGTCATGTCTCATGTACTCACCATGGGCAGGGTAGAGGGGGTAGGTTGGGTACAGGTCTTAGGTCTTTTTTTTTTTTTACAAATGCTCCAGTCTATTCGTGGGGAGCAACACGTGCTGGGAACCGGGTCCCCTGTAGAGGTCTTAGGTCTAGATTGGATTAGGTAGGAATATGTGTAGAGATTGTGGGCCTGTTTGTGGGCCGCCTCGTTCGTATGCACTGCTCTGTGGGTGTTTTATCGGTGTGTCTTGGTACTGAGGTAGTTTCCCGGCCTCATGGTACACCTGCCAGAGTCATACTTACTTTGTACGATCCTGGTTCCAGTCCCGGTCTAGCTCCGCTCTCTACACCCCCCCCTTGAGTAGTAGCGAGGGTTGGGTGTTAGGTATATACAATTCCCAATATCGGGCCTCACATCAGTCTAGGGTCTCTGGGTAGGGGTCTCATCTTAAGCAGGGGAGGGTGGGTCATCGCATTGATAGTAGAAGGCTGGTAGACACCCATAGAGTCTGCTAGATGCGATACACGTGCGGAATGACCACACATCCGTCACCCCTCCTGTGTCCGGGTCGTCCTCGAGAATTCTGGGTGTCCCTGTGGTGGCGTCCAGGGGGGACGCATCTGAGACCCTCGGAAGACGCGGGTTGGTGTAGGTATAGGTCGAGAGATAGGTCTGCGTCACACCACCATAGGACTCGACATGCAATCTGATTAGGATAATTAAAAAGAGTTCGCAAATGGTGGCCCCTGGAGGAGACCGTCCTTGGGGCTGTCACAAGCCATCTAATCTCCCTACTGGTCGAGTACAACGACAGACACCTCCCGGGGCCTAGCATCCAGCCTCTACTACAATCTGGACTTCATAAATACATACAGGACCAAAAAAAAAAAAAGAGACCTACCAGTAGCAGCTGAGATTCAAATTGTGAGAAACGAACTTTTGAGAAATGGTACGTGCACCGTGACAACTTCTTTGCCACCTTTTTTTTTTTGGCCACCTTAAAATAAAGAATCTTAAATATTTTGTTCCTGAAAGATCAGGACCAAATGATGGTTGAAAGATTTCTTTGCACGACACTTCTTGCGTAAGAAATCCCCCCCCATAGCTAGTGGTTTAAACCCCCCCACTGCTAGTGGTTTAATCCCCCCCCATAGCTAGTGAACATGTTAACACTTTTTTGCAGAAGAGGGCCAACTGCTCAGTGCCCACAGCTAGTAGTTTAATCCCCCCCCATAGCTAGTGGTTTAACCCCCCCCACTGCTAGTGGTTTACCCCCCCCTCCAAAGAATACCCTCAACACGGCGGAATCCCCGGAATCGTCAGAGGGACTGGTGGTTTGAACCACCAGCGTCCTGGATGTCTGCGGCCGCTGGCCACAATAAAAAGCCACATTAACCACCTGTACTTCCTAGATTCGTGCCCGTTAACGCGCCACGATTTTAGGAAACGTACAGGCCACTACAGGAGCGCCCAAATTCATCCAACTAGAAATGTTTCTACTCTACTTTTTTCCGCGGCCAATAGCCGGGCCAAGTACTGGTGGTTTAAACAACCAGTGCCTTTCCCATGCATAGGCTGCAGGTAGAAAAAAAAGGCCCGCAAGGGCCGCAACGGAAAACGGTCAGCCGATGAAATTTATCAACGACAGCCCAATCGCGCTCGCGCTTGGCTTCCAAACATAGCAGCGCGCGTATTTGATTTTCAAGCGGGTGAACGGTACTGGTGGTTTAAACCACCAGTGTAATAATTCCTAAAGTCGTGCGCATGAACAAACCCTGATTTTAGGAAATGGATGGGACACTACAGGAGCGGCCAAATTCATCCGACTAGAAACGTTTCTACTCTTCTTTTTTTTTTTTTTCCCCACAGCCGATAGCTGGGCCAAGTACTGGTGGTTTCAGGCATACTCTCGCTTTAACGAGTCTAATCTTCAACATGCCCCGAAATCTTTGTCCGGCAGGCCAGCCCCAGCCTTTCTGTGGCACAATCGATGTCAACCAGCAGGCGCGTGCAGAATATAAATGGGACAGGTACTGGTGAGTTTTAAGCAACTGGTCCTCTTTCCCAGCATGAACCTAGTCTTAATCACGGCCAGGTTCCTGTTTTCCCAGGATAAACATAGCACCAGTGGGGCCTGGCTCCCATAGTTAAGGGAGCCACAGCATGGGGACCACAGCATATCCCCACAGTTCTGTGTGATAGTGTTCAGCTGCAGATGTGAACATGTAAAAACTCTTGAAGCGCAGCGATTACGAGCTGGCCTTTTTTTTTTTTTTTTTTTTTTTTTTTTTTTTTTTAAACCAAGCACTTTATGAGCTGGCTTTTGCCTTAAACGGTTAAACCACCATCACACCGGACCTGGAGGCACTGCAATGAGTCCCAACCATTTTCCAAACCGCCAGCGGCGCACTCCGTTTCTTTGTTGGCTGGCGCCGCTGGCTATTCTGATTCGGTAGACAGCTGTGCTACCACTGCTACGGAATTTTCTGAGTGGGTGACGAGGAAATTTCTGCAAGGCTGGGACCGCCGACTGGTGGTTTTAAGTTTTAACTACCACAACCTCTCACAAGTAAAGTTTTTGCAACTAATTGGTTCATAAACTTCATATTCGCCGACTGCGCATTTATCAAGCGTTCAGCCTCCTAGACCTTTTTGACTGCCTGTGGAAGGCAAGGAAAGACAAAAAAAGAGCGCCCAGCCAGTTCGTTTTGCTCTTGGTACACTGCAGTGGGAAAAAGAGGCTCGGCGGTAGTGGTGGTTAAATTAGAAAAGTTTTTCAAAAGCACCCAGAGAAACATTTCACAAACAATTACCCCAACCAGTGTGAATATGGGCGCTCTAGCCATCATACATTGCCCATATGAATGTCATACACTCAAGAAAAGCTGATGGGAAAAGACAGTTAGCTGGAAAACAATAAGACGACCGAGACAAAGCCTACAACAGTTTACACATGGAAACACACACACACACAAACACACACACACACACACACAGAGAGAGAGAGAGAGAGAGAGAGAGAGAGAGAGAGAGAGAGAGAGAGAGAGGTCATTGGGTATAAAATTTTTCCGATATCCTCAATCTTCCCAAAGACACTATCCAAACCTGTTGTGCACTCCCCATTGCATCCTGAACACATGAAGGCCCTGAAAGGTCAGGCCCCCTTGGCAGCCACAGGTGGTCCACTCACGCACTGTTCAGCACCAGGCTACATCTTCCCACTGCCATTGCGATCCACCAGTGGGCGACGACAACCATCGTTTTCACTTTGCGAGCGCGGCAGGCCTCCTCTGGGACACAACCACACTGACCCCACCCATTGCACCCCCTCTTGTGTAGCAAGCAGGGTCTTCTTCCTCGATTATGCATCGGGAAGAGTCATCGTGGTTCACGATGATGACGTAGGGATAGCGCGAGGATGCATCGGCAAGAGTCGTGGTTTACGATGAGGTAGCAATTTGCAAATCGGTCTGAGGGAGGGGAAATAGTATTTTACTTAGCCATTTCCTGACACGTCTCGTTGGGTAGTTTTCGTTGTTTTTGAACAGTTTTCTTCTTTTTTTTTGTTTTTGCAGGGGGGAAAGGTGGAGTTAGGGAGGGTGGGGTCGCGACGGTGAGGCTGCTATTGGGGTTGTGAAGGGGTCTTCACAGGGCTTTGACCACCCCCCCTTCGTCTGCCTGCATTTGGTCCGGCTGCAGCCTTCTCCATCTGCTTCTTCAGCGCTCGTTTCTCTCGAGGACGCATCTCCCTCACTGTTCTTTCTGGCATATGGAATTCCGTCAACTGCTGGCTCGTAAACGGGTGCTCGTCGTCGTTAAAGATACGCAGCTTTAATGAACGATCCTGTACAAGACAAAGTCGAAAAGAAAAAAGGAAAAAAAAAAAGTGTGTCACAAGTGGCAATAACACACGCATAAATCGAGAAATGGTCCAAATTTTTATTAAAAAA